ACTTTGAGGTTTGAGGACAGAAACTGAGGATGTGCTGAATCACCTCGTAGGAGGACAGAGGTCCAGGACGAGCTCGCCGTCCCTGTTTGAGTCCGTCCTCTTATTCCCAGGATCCTCGGTGAGCTTGTAGCTCTGAAAATCGCTGAGGCTAGAAGAGAAAGACAAACGATGCACGAGGTTTAGTGATGATCGTCAGAACATTACAGCAGACTCAGTTTGTCCCATCATGGCTGTATGAACAGTGTAGAGCGGGGGTCTCAAACTCACGGCCCGCGGGCCATTTGCAACGTAATAACAACGTAATCAGGCTGATACTGATAATCTCAGTACTTCTATGGGTTAAATCTTTTGTGCCCCAGGGCATCATTTCCATTTAAAACAACTATAAAATCCACTAAAAGTTGTGTTTAAATGACGAGAAATTAAAAGAAAAGATTAAAATAATCAGAATTTACAAATATCAAAAACAATGAGGTACGCAGACACAAAAAAAACATAAAATCAAATAAATTGAGCTGATACACAAACGAGCTCCGCTCACCCTTCGTTGTCGTTGTGGACGTCCTGCGTCCCCCAGCAGAGCTGCCTCTTCCTCCACTGAGCCATGTGGGACAGCCCGTCTCCGTCTGCAGCCGAAAAATCAAACAAGAGTCAACACTGACCGAAGACGCGGCGCTGTGGTCACCGGTGAAGCTTTTGAGCCCTGCACAGATCCTGCTGCTCGCACTGACGCGACGTGCAGATCACCATGACAACCAGTAAGGATTTAACTCCAAACGGAGGATGATTATTTTTGTAGGGCATCCTGAAAGCTTGCATCACTCTGGTTCCCTTTACAATACTTTTTAAATGACGCCAGCACTAAGCCCCGCCCCCAGCATGATGATCCCAAGTGTCCAGCAGCTGTTAGCAAACTGGTCTCTGAGAAAACCTTCAGTCAGTTAAACTGGTGAATTTTATGCTGCAGAATAAAACATCTAAAGTCTAAACTACACATCTGAGTTCACTTTGCAGTCTCAGCTGAATTTTGTTGTCTTGCTGTTAGCATCTTTTGGCTAAACCACAGCCCCGCAGGCCGAGGAAGAGGTGTGGCAGCAATTTTTCACACCAGCCTATTAATCAACCAAAGACCCAGACAGACTTTTAATTCATTTGAAAGCCTGATGCTTAGCCTCGTCCACCCCA